GAGATCCAGACTGCAAGAATTCAGGGATAAGACCTGCAGAAGAGATGACCAAACGATTTCAAAGATGGACACAAAGATAGACGTCAGCAGAAATCAAAGCTGATGGAGGTTTCAGACGGGTTTGAGTCTGCTATATGAATATACCTGCAGTGTGATCTGAGACCCATGCATTGATAACGCTGATGGCTTGGTCTGGCTTCGTGAAGTCCACCTGGTGAGGGTTGGTCTTGAAGGCCTTGGCCAAGGTCCGGTGATATCTCTTCTCCAGATTCATCTTCCTCTCCACCATCACCCCGTTGGCTATTTCTACCCCTTCCTCAGTGGACAGGCCCCGCTGCAGAAGCCACTGCTGCCGAAGCATCCCCCGCTCTGCGGGACGAGTTTTGTTTTTCATGGTTATGGTCTTGACATGCTCTAGTCTACCAAAGTCACAAAACTACCTTTTTTTAAATCTTTCTTTAACTTAGTTACAAACTTTCTTTTGCAAACGCTACAGTATGTGTAAAAACAGTAAATTGTGCCATATTGTTGTCCTGATGCTAAAAACTTTATGGATATATTCTCATTATTTCCTGTAACCTGTTCCTGTTGCCGCAGTCCCACTTTGTTGTCTGGATCTAGATGTCACTCACCTCGCAGAGAAAAACCCATAGCTGTGGTTAAGGCCTTGCTGGTGTTTCCATTTGCACCAAGCTGAGCCATGGCCAGAACAGAGGCCACGCCATATGGGGACAAGACCACATTCTTGTCTGTTGACTCCTGGGCCAACTGGTAGAAGACCTTCAGCCCAAAATCAGTCTGCTTATCCTGCAGAGAACTCAGTCCCACTCTGCTCAGAGCCAGCACCAGGAAAATATATACACAAAGCATTCTGGAAAAGAAAAATTAGAATTTCATCAAATATGAATAGTTGTGATTCAGTATGCAGCAGACACTCTGTATCTGGCACCTGCAAGTATAACCTTTCTTCTCAAACAGCTTTTCTCGCAGTGATTGTACACTACATCACTAAAACTGATGCGTTCTTTAGAAACAGGTATTGTATCCATTTAAAGAGGAGTGGGTTTTTGTTTAACCTTGTGTCTGTAGATCCTTTCTGATTCTTAGTAAGAAACTGCACTGGATTACACAGTGGTACAGAGAAAGGTTAAAGACCTGTCAAAAGTTGGCCATAAAATGATGTCTTAAAAGTATGACTGTGAAAACTTGCATACAGAAAGGTTCAAGCAAAGAGTATGAAAATAAACAAAGACAGAAAGAAAACGTGTCAAACTAGCCACAACTGGTAGATGTAAAAAAAAAAGAAAAGAAGAAGAATGTATCAGTCCACTTCTAACTGTGCTTCAGTCAAACACTGACTCAGGATAATGAGATTTAATAATAATAATTCAGGATAGGATTTATAACAGATTCAGTTTGTTCTTAGGATCTGAATGCAAGTCAACATAATAGACATGTGTATTAAAAAAAGCTGTGCACATGTGATTGATGATGTAATTTATGGATGTGGACAAGATCAACTGAAAACTACTCAAGAGGCTAAATTACACTTTATTGTATTAAATACCAATTTCCCTTCTAATTCCTTGTAATGCTGTGTGTGCCTGTATGTATAAGCTAAAGTCTGAACTGTCAGGTTCAGGTCCTTACCTTGTAGCTGGCGTGTGTCCAGTGTAGTATTTCAAATCCCTGTTTGTTCAGGTTGGGTCTTCTCTGCTGGTCCCTGAGTTTGAAATACTGACAGCGGTTTGCCTATTTATGCTAAAAGACTGCCTCCCTCCTACACACACATAAACACACAAAGCGTTGGAGACGATGATGTCATCTGACACTGTCTGGACAGACTTCCTTTTCATGAACACACATGTCCACTCACCCTCCCTCTCACTTTTTTCCTTGTCTCTTTTTCCAAGTTATCATTGAGGATATGGAAAGTCACTTAACTCTTTCCCCACATGGACACACACACATTAGTCTGTTCTTCCTGCTCATGCTGGAACAGTTAGTCAGAGGTGAATGCACAGTAATGTTTCGTAATCACTGATTTTTTTAAAATGTCTGGATATAATAAATATTGCTGGCTGACAGGCAAGTGCTGCACTCTCGAATGCTCTGCATGTTTCTACAGGAAATATGGTGTGGAAGTAAAAGTGCTATCTGTTATTTGTTTTTCTTTGGAAGGCTATTTTCGACTTCTTTTAGCGTGTCACAGGTTTAAAACATATATAATCCTGTGCTGCAGTGAGTGGTATACATGCTCATGTGCTTTCACTTTGGGTGGGGATGCATCAGAATTCCAAATTTAGTCACAACTTTTAACATTCCTTATCCCACTACTCACCAAGCATCTGGTAGACAGGACAGAGAGTTGCATTTTACACACTTTTTCCAAGTCTATCTACGGAAGCTTGTGGCAGGCTAACAAAATGTAATTGAAGCCATTTGTTATATAGAAGAAAGCAAAACCAAAGAGCTTCCTGGAACTGATTTTGTTATGGAGTGTTTCAATTTCCATTACCAAGAAACAAAGAAACAAAAAGGACTAGAAGATGTTAAAACACTGCAGATACCCAGGAGACACAGAAATTACCAAACTGCATCCCTTAATCATCAGAATACAGTGTCAACAATTTTTCCTAAGAAGTAGGGCCAAAACCATCTGTGGATTATCCAGAGTAACAGAAACATAAGAATCACCAAAAACACAAACTAAGTATAAAATACATAAATAAAAAAGGTGAACAGATGTTGTGCTGCTGGAACATCGTTTCTGTGAGGGGACCTTATAAAACAAGCTGCATTCAGACAAGCCGTTTCATCCTTGAGAGCTTTTCTAACATTCACTCACATTCTGATGGATGCACTGGGGGAACTCGGGATTAGGATCTTGTCGAAGTGTATTTGACATGCAAACTGAAGCATCCAGGGATCAAACCACCAACCTACTGATAAGTAGATGATTTACCTCTTGAGTTATACTCAGACTGAAAAGATGTGCAAATGTATTTTCATGAATACCTTATTAACAGAGAAAATCAGTTTAAACTAGTTCACCTTGTGTAAAACATTCAAAATAATTCCAAAGAAAAACACAAACCTAGGCTACAAATTTTAATGACAAGGTTTGGGAAGCAGATCTTTCTTTATTCTAAGATAACTGAGTCTTTGACAAATGTTTATGGCCATTGACGGTGTCTGGTATTTTTTGCCCTGGCTTTTAAATAGATGTAGTTTTCTGTCTTCAAAATACTCAAAATTTGTTTATTAAGCCTGAGAAGCTCCCATTATTAATACCCTGGGAATGTGACACAGCCACAACAGTGAGAGAATAACAACAGTGAACAATGGGATGACAAGTCCGTTATCAAGCCTTTGGGATCACCACCGTTATTTTTACACATTATGCTGTTTTTGCTTTAGACAATGTTTCCTAAAATATAAAGATGCATCAGCACATCTGGTTACTGTAACTTGGCCCCACAACCCCTGAGGATTTAGTACATTCCATGTAAGGCTGTGACTGGAAAGTTGGTTTGTACACCCACTCAGTTCTCTGTGAGAAAAAACAGGAATGAACTGTTGCCAAGACAGCAAATAACACCACACACAGACTCTTAGTTTTGTTATTGCTTAGCTATTGATTTGTATTTATTCCCAGGTATTTTGTCCTAGTTATTGGGTTTATTTGTTCCCTCTGTGGGGCTCGTCCCTCTGTATCACTTTTCTCTGGTTAATTTATTTATACATCCATGTTTCTCTATTTAGTTAGAAGTCTTATTTCCTGTTTTATATCACCTTCTCATATTGGTAAATGGACTGGTTCTAATCAATCTGAGCGCTCAAAGTAATTTACACAACTCCACACAGTCTGGCTACACTGTCACTAATAACTCTGTGTGCTCTTTGGTTAGAATCCAGGTGACTTGAATAAACCTCATGGGTTTGAAAATAGAGTTAAAATTAAGAGGATAAACAGAAATTTCACTTCAGTTGTATTTATATTGTGCTAGTTCACAACATTATTACTTTATATATATAATTATAAATTTCAACAAAACCTAAAGGCTTAAAATTAACATTTGCACTAATTTTCAGCAATAATATGGTATATTACAGCTGACATGTTGTTATAGTATAGCCTAAAAAAAGTGTGGTGCCGGACTGCTGCCTTTTGAGTAATACAGTGAGGGATGATCATGTTATGACTGATGTGTCAGAGTGTGGTTGTTCCTCTGTATCAGCCCATCACAGCTGCTGGGACATGTACAATGAGTCCTGAGTGTAACATTTCTGTAGAGACCTATCTCCACACATCAAAGCTGATGTGGTCCTTGTGTTGACTCATGCACTTTCTGTCTGTCTTGCTACATCATGCTCTCTTCTCTCCTGTTTTATGTTCATTAACTGCACCTTCTGTTTCAGGGTCTTCCTCTGTGTGCCACCTTTGCATCCAGCACACCTATATTTCTTCTCTGTGCAGGTACCCGGTTGTGTCTGAGGGACTTGCCAAGAGCGAGTTTTTCCTTGACAAACAGTTTATCTGTGAATCTGTAGTGGAGACCAGGACATTCCAGCTATCATTCCTTATGCTGTCTATTGTTTTTACCTTCACTGTAAATCAACACACTGTTAGTGAACCTAGTGAGTCCAGTCTTCTCTAGTGTTCATGATACCAAAATACATCCTGATTTTTCTTAAAAACAAGAAATAATGGACTGTAATTATTCTGCTGATCAGTTCTAATAGTTTGTGGTTTAAAAGTAATTAACTGGGTTCATAGCAGTTTGGCCGATCTCAGATGAAAATAATTTGTCAAAACAATTCATTCATGTGTTTTATCTTAATTACTCCCCTTTTTATCCATTTCTTTCAGAAAACTATCAAAAAATGTCAAAACTTTGAAGCGCTCCATATTAACAGCAGGTACTTTTGTTGACTTGGAGGCCCCATTATTTCAGAAGTTTCGGTTAAAACTTGAAGTACATAAATATCTCTGAAGACAAAAGTCACTGATGAAGATACACTGTCTTACTTTCAAACTAGCCTCTCCTTTTCTAAATGTAGAACATTTATACATCACATTTATACTGAAATTTACTAACATGGTTATCATACAAAACACTAGAGTAATGTGACAGTTACTTTTAGTGTATTGACTATCATGTTGAGCTGTATACGACAGGGCTCTCAGCCATCCTAACAAAATGAGATAAAACTGAGGCACAGTTATCATATTCATATCCAGCAGTATTCCTCAATTATTTTAACATTTTACTGATATACAGGGACCAAGCCTACAAAAACAACAGAAAGTAATTTTGTTACATAAGTTCCTGCTGTATGTATGATGAAACAGTTTTATATAATCCCTGAAAGTGCAAAGCAGTCAATGAGAGACAGAAGAAATGGAAAACTCAAGTGTTTGTGGTTAGGTGAGTAAATGGGTGTGATTGTGGTGAACAGAAAGAAGATCGCTTATGTTCAGAAAACGGGAATTTCCATCCATGAAATGTATTCGCTACTTCATATTCCACAATCAGCTGTTTATTATATTCTAACAAAGTTGATGATTGAAAGCAACTCCACGTAAAATCACAATGGGATCAGTGGATAGTGACGCGCGTGGTGTACAGTCGTCCCAACTCTCTGCAGAATCAAACGACAGTTAGTCTGCTGTCTGCGGCAGGGGAGCAAACTTCCGGCGGCATGCGAGAATGTGTGACTTATTAATGACCCGTCAGTGCGAGCTTCACCGGCCTGCTGACAAACCATGCAGGCAGGGGCGGGGCTTTGTGTTTATGGACACCAATCACACGCAAAAACAGACTAGGATCATACCATTACGTGAAACAAGGAAGGGGGAGGGGGCAGACATTCCAAAGACACCAAGTTAGTGGTACAGGCCGGGTACACAGAGGAGATGAGCATCTGGCTGCATTTCAGTGCGATTGGAGACCGCAAAGCTGAATGCAGAATTTATAAACTTAGGAGCTGGATAAAGTTTTGGAGGATGAAAGGTTTCACATTTCTCCTTAAACCTCATGCTCTTCTCCCTAGCAGTAGTAAATGAAATTTTTTTTTTTTAATTTTACCACTTATCTATCTATACTTAGGCGAGTTATGTAAACTGCTTTGAGTGCTCAGATAGATATGAGAAGGTGAAGGAAAACTAAGCACAAGAAACAAATAACTGTCAAAGCAGGCAACTTCTAAATATCTCGTGTTGCCACATGTATTGCCTTCCAATAAGTTTTAATAACCCGACAGTCCCAGAAAATATAATAGTCGGCATTTGTGTTTCCACATCACAGTCATAGTGAGATTTTTGGTATGTTGTAATAAAGTAACTTATCAGGCTTTTCCAACCAAACTCCCTCCAGCTCACACAGTGTCTTTGAATGGCAGAGATGTAGAAATGTGTGCATGAAGCACAGAGTCATGGTTCACTGAGTCTCAATGAGTCTCACAGGCCTGAATGTGCTTGAAGACTTTTACAATTCTTAACTTGTTTGATCAGCTTCTCACCACAAACGAGCACACATTTGACTTTTAACAGTTTAGCCCACATTCATATTACGTGAAGTCATCAAGCAATAAACAGGAAATGACAAGAGTTTGTTTTTACTTTCTAATGTCCAAGTTTGTTTTGTTTTCCAACTACAGGTTCAAAAACAAAAAAACCTGGAGAGTCGGGGCAATGAGCAGGACAATACAGGACTGTTAATTAAGACACTTTATTAACAAACATTAGCTTACAAGGCTCGCTGTCACCATGCTGTCCTAGTTAAAGAGCAGCTCAGTAAAA